AGTTCATCAGCGAGGCGGCGGTGCGGGGGAACGCCGCCATCCTGGACTATTGCAGGACGTCTGTCTCGGCCCTGTCGGGCGCCACGGCGGGGATCCTCGGCCTGACCGGTCTGCACGGCTTCATCTTCTACTTCCTGGCGTCCGTCCTCCTCTCCCTGCTGTTGGTGTTAAAAGCCGGACGGCGATGGAACAAGTACTTTAAATCCCGGAGGCCGCTCTTCACGGGGGGGCTTGTAGGAGGGCTCTTTACATACGTCCTGTTCTGGACTTTCCTGTACGGCATGGTTCATGTCTACTGAACCAACCACCGTTAGCTGCAGTGGTTTTTAATGAAGCAGGAGGACTGTTGCCAAAAGTCATCTCCACAGCTAGGCCCGCTCACCTTTTACACTGTTGTTCGTCGCTTGTCTTGCTCATAGCGTCAGTAAGTCATGTCCAAGTACAGCCGGGTCGGTCGTACTCTGATTAAACTGAATGTGAAACACCACGTGGATGCTTCCCACGAGTAGTTGTTTGGTGGTTACGGAACCAGCACAGCCGTGGGGTTTGGTTAACGTCCCTTGTATCCTTTGCGTTTGGGGTGAGATGTAACGGTTACGGTCCCTTTAGATCTGCTGCCTGTCCCTGCACACAAACACTGGTGAAAGCGGTGTATAACAGCACTCAAAATAATCCACTGACACGAGGAAATACGGCACAGTAGCCTGTACTTCAGCGTATGTAAGGCTTGGGTAGAGAAGGGTGAGCTGCTAATGCAAATGTTCTTTCCACAATTGCTGTGTGTACACGCTGTCACAGATAATAATAATCACAATAAATGATGTCACAGATGCTTTTCCCTGGCATATACAGAAGTTGCTGAGTAGCTGCTCTCACACGTCCAACGCTTTGCTCCTTCTCAGCACCACTGTGTCCAACGAAGCGCGGACAGCCAAGCGCAGCATCTCCCAACCTGCCGGCTTAGAACGCGCCTGGCAGCCTGCTGGCGTTTTCGGTAGGCGAACCGAGCGTTGCGGTGGTTCCACGTGTCCCTGCCGGAATGGGAGATGCCGTCGCCCACCGCGCAGGTAACGGCTTTCCCTGTGCAAACGTAGCGGTTGACTAAGGGTGCGTCCCAGAGGGAAGGTGTGTGCTGCCTACCCAGCACACTGTACAAGAGTGCTGCAGAGCACTGCCCCGAAGTGGCAAACTTTATTGCTGTCCATTGCGTACACAGAGAGAAAAAAAAATCAAAGAAACAAGCTCCTGAGAGGGAAACTGGTTATGCTTTATTAACAGTGGTTGTGGGAATCCTGTTAAACAGAGGATATAAGGGAAATATTTTAGGAAATTCTGGGGGCTTGAAGGCTTCAGGAAAATAGCTTTGGTCATCTAACCAGAGGGCGGTGTTTTGTCAAGCTGAAACACTGGTTTCAGTAGAGCACAGTCAGCTCTACGTGTTCCGATAGGCTGCTCGGTCTCCGTGAGTTATGCCTTGGCCTGACATCACCCTGGGGGTCACCGTGTGTCTCACCACCTAGAAATTACATCAAGCTCTGGCAGTCAAAAGCCCGCACTGTTTCACTGGCATGTCAGCTATCCACGTTAATGCGCGCTTGCCTAGAGGAGGGACCCCTGGCATGAAGGGAGCAGGCTCTGGATGTGATTGCAGCATCAGAGGTGCATGGTTGATCCTAAATTACCCTATTTTCTTGACCTGGTAATCGCCTGCATCTCAACAGAAGCAGAGGGAGTGGATGACTGGGTGGGGTTGTCACTGACTGGATTCAGTCTGCCACCACTGGCAAAGGTGACTTTTAATTTACAGTCAACCGGTACCTCGGAGTAAGCACCGTCAGGAGGTTAAAGCAGAGGGAACTGTCCATCTGTGTAACCCTGGATGGCAGCAGCTCTGTGCTGGACGCTGCAGCAGGAGCCCTTGAATCCCGGTGTTCAGAGGGCGCACAGACACAACCTTTATGGTGACAGCTCCTGACCCATGGCGATCTGGCAGCACTTACAACACCAGGCCACGGCGCAGACGCCGTGACGGAGGCAGGAATATTTATTCACCTGGCGGACAGGTTCCTGTCAGCTCAAGCAAACACAGATTTTGAAAGTAAACAAGGCTTTTGCACAAGCACTTCTCTGAGATTAGTTGTGTCCCCCCGTGAGCAGAAATTCACCAGATGGGCTGCAACGAGACATTTCTCTGTTGAGAAGCAAGGTAGTTCCTGAAGTTCCCAGTCTTGAAGTAGTGGATGTCTCCTCTAAATTTCCCTCCTGTTGGTATATTTGCAAGACCCTGCCAAAAGCTGCTTTACCTGATGGACTCCCTCTCAGTCTCTGCAGTAGGGTGCAGGGTACAGCGGGAGACTGCGCTCCCATCCGTGTCTCTCCCCACCACGAGCAATTGGTCAGTGATGCAGGAAGGACGATCCCGAGCAAGTTAAACCAAGGAGGGAGAAGCTCCAGGCGTCTCCACGCGGCTATTCCCAGTGCCAGGTTGCTTTGCAGCGCATTAACCCCCTTTTCGCCCCGGTGTCAACCGCACAGACACCCCTCCCTGCCTTGCTTCGAAATACTCCGCCTGCTGTTGCCGTCCTCCGGGCCAGCTACCAATGGGTACGGGTGACGGAGCTGGACCCCAGCCATGGCTGAGCCGATTCTCCATTCGGAGCTGGGGCAGGACCTTCTCCTGCCGTTCCGGAGGAGCAGAGCACCTTGTGGCAGCCGTGGCAAAGGTTTTTCCTGGGAGAGCACCGGTTCTAGCCCTAACGGTTACCCACGCCCAGAGCAGTAAGAGGAACTGCCCGCGCTGCCGCACGGGAGCTGCAGGACAAGTCCCCGGCCTCCGGGAGCTGCTGAAACGGGGCGTTTTCACTGCTCCCGACAGCTGCACAGCTCATCTTGCGTCTGGCAGGAGCGAGGGCTGGAAGCTGTGGCCACGGGCCCGCGGAGCGGGAGGGGGGTTGAAGCTCAGCCTCGGCAGCGGTTTCACGTCACTGCTCTCACACGTGGAAGCAAAGCAGAGCCACGGGGTGATGCTGGCTAGGGATATATCTATCAATAGATATAAAAACATCCATTTGGTGCTTTCTTTTTCCTTTTCTAAGATCCTTTTATAAATCCACAGCGGCGACGCTCCGTCGCAAGCTCGGGATGCCAGAGAACATCTCAGGGAAAGAAGGGCAGTCTTTAAGGGACTTGTTTTCCTTCTGGGAATCCCGATAACAGACAGCAGACCTGCTCTGGGGTGTCTCCACCTCCCAGTCCTGGTGTGATCTCACACCTGCAGGGTTTCCCTGGGGTATGCGTCCAGCGGGCAGCCCCATCGCTCTGCCTAGAGCCCGCCGAGCTGGTCAGCGTTCTGATTCCCGTTCAGCGTAGGGCTAGATTGTGATTTCCTGGAAGTGCACCTGAGGGAACAAGCGAAGGTGACGGCGGAGGCAAGCAGGCTCTTTGTGTGTCAGGAGGCAGTGCTGGCAAGAGGTGCCCAGCCAGGCCTGTCACGCCTTGCCGCAGAGGTGCCCAGCTAAAGCCCCAGTTGGCAGTGCCGTGGGGCTCTGGAGCTCTTGGAGCTGCCCCAGTTCTCCCGCAGCTGCTGCGGACAGGCAGTGCAAGGCCTTTTATAGCCCAGCCATGACACAGCAGCTTCCTTTGCTCCCAGCTAACTGCAGCAGTGAATTACGGGGGGAGGGAGTAAATGAGGCTAAACTCATTTGGAGGAATGTAATTTCCTGGAACTGGCCTTTGCCATCAGTGTTTACTGTGTTCCTGTATCTCCTCCTGTCCCTCTTACTCAGAACAATAAAGCCATTACATTTAAACACAAAAGCCAAGCCCACTTACTTTACTTCCTCATACTTTTTGCCTCGATAGAAGTTACTCTTTTTAATCAGATACAGCAGCACCAGGTCACAAAAGAAAGCTCCCTGCGAAGAGAAAGAACTTGGGTTTTATCCTGAAGAGGAGGTGTTCTGATCTGATTAGCAATGAGCATTAATTAAAGAATGAGTTGTAGGAGCTGTGTTTTCCTTCATACTCCCTGTAACCTTAGGAATATTCAGACTACACGGAACATGGCAAATGCCTTTAGGACAGGAGGCAGACACACACCTGAGGGAGCAGTCGGAGCAGCAAGGCCTCCACTGGAAAAGGTATAAAGCAGCCCTCCCGTTTCACCCTCCTAACAGCTGCACGAGGGGTCTGGGTCCCGCTGTATGAATACACTGTACGAATACACAGCCACTTACCGCTCCCATGAGAGCGAGCCCCGAACCGACGTTGATAACGGTGGGAATGATGTTAAATTTCCCTGCCTGAAATAAAAAAGGTCATGAAGAACCCAGTAAAAGAACAACCCAAGGGACAAAATACGGGTGTGGTATTACACGGGGGGAGCTACTAGTTCCTCTGGGTGGGTTCTGTTAGCACCAAGCAGGCACAAGCAGAGAGGGTTTGCAGCCACCAACCGCGGAGGCTCGAGGGCTGCGTGTGCCTCGGCCCCAACTGTCCATGGCTGCGTCATCCCTGGATTAGGCTGCTTTTTCCTGCACTGCACACGCATGGACACCGGGTCGCTGGGGCGTATTTGCTTCCGTTGGACTTTACACGAGCCTGGTTTTCAGGCAGGAGAGATGCGGACTCAGCCGCGCTCCAGGTCATCTCCTTTTCTTACGTAGGGTCAGCTCCACAAGGATGAGCGGCAAGAGCCCTTTCCTACAAGCCGGGGGGGCTGTTCTCATCCCACAGAGATGGCCCCCACCTGTTTTCTCTGCAGTATTCTGGCCTGGGACCTCACCTTGCCGTTCACCATCACATCAAAGCGGATGCCGTACGCCTTAATGAGTGTCCGGTAGTCGACCCCCTCAGCATTCCGGTAATACTTGGCAAACCTGGAATGCAACAGTGCTGATTTTAACTCCATCGTCTGCCCCCCACCCCAGAACTCCCCTGCACTGACCTAGCTCTCCAAACAGATCTATTCCCCCGTCACAACCCGCTTCGGCTTGCCAGGAGCACGACTCCCTGGCTCCACGGAAGCAGTGCGCTTGGCTGGGGCCGGGCCTGGCGTGAGCTGGTGCTGCTTCACTGCCAAACCAGCCCAGCCCCGCTGCATCCTATTCTCCTCACTCACCGGAAGTTGTACCCAGAAGAGACGGAGTTTTCTGCAAACTTGTTATCCAGCCGGCTAAAAGAATAGTGAGGGTTACATTCAGAAGGGGCTTTATCAAGATCACAGTTCCATTCAATCTGAATTCCTATCACACCACCCTTGATGGAAGAGAGAGACAGTGTGAGTTTTTTTTAAGTTTAGTTCAGTTAATGTGTCTTCAAATCTGTCAGATCCTGGGGCAGTATTCCCCAGGGCCAAGGACAGCTGCGGTTCTGCTCGCAGCCCCTTCTGGGCAGGCTAACCTCACGCCTGCTCTACACACAACCCTGCATAGTATCCTAGGAGGAGGTTTCTCATCCCAGGACTCCGATTTCATGAATTTAAGTGGCTGTAATACACTTCAGTGGAGAAGAGGCTCTTTCAGGCAGGGATGAGGTTCACGGGTGCAGAAGCCAGCACAAAGCCTGCGCTCTCCTCACTCCGTGCTTCCCGGGATGCCTCGGACTGGCTCCGTCTCCCCTGCCCAGGGCTACACACGCTGGGTCGCAGCCTGTTTGGTGCTGCAGCCCCGGGTCTCCGTGCAGAAACGTGCCCGTTTCCTGCAGAAGAAGCCTCCTGAGGCCCCCATGGCGTTCCAAAGTTCTGGGCTGAAGCTGATGGTGTTTGAACAAAGAACCGCTGCTGGCAGAGCAGGGGCTTGGGCAGCCCACGGTGACACATAACTGACCAACCACCTCTGCCAACAGGACCCACATCGCCCTGCCTCCCACTCCCTGGGGACAGGATAAATGGGACCAGCTTGACTTTAAGCACCAGCGTCCCTCCACTGGTCCCTGGACAGGAGGCAGATCCCCGGGCAGTCGCCGGTGGCTCTCCTCATGGCCACCTAGCGAGCAGCACAGCTGGCTGTTGCCACACGCGCCCAAGGGACACTCCTACCTCCGAGGCCATTTCCTGGAAGTCACTCCCAGCCCATCGGACGATGTTCCCCAGGAGGAAGATGGGGCAGTAGGGATGTTCCGTGCTGTAGCGGCAGCTCTTCAGGTAGGACTCGTTGGTTGCCAGCACATTCATCCTGCACATTGGGAAGAGGGAAAACCACCTTGTCTCCCTCTTTTCTTGCCTACCCAGCCCACACCACCAAGACTGCGGAGACAAGAGGCTTCTCCAACACCCCCTGTGCACAACAGAGATGGCACTTTGCCACCAGCCTCGTCACCCTCCGACCCTCTCCACGCTGGCCCAGGGAAGGCTCACACAAAGACGACATCCAGGCCAGTCGGGGACTAGGCCAACTGCATCTGGGCTCCAGGAAGGACTCGCATGGAGCAGGTTGCCAGCGTGCTCCAGGGACACTTTTCCCAAGGAAAAATAAAGATGCTAGGAATGTGTAGCTGAGCTTGACAGAGCAGCAACATGCTCCTTTCTACCTTTCTTTCATTCACACTGGAGCCAGAGCAAATGCAAACAGATATTTTAAAGCTGAGTTTTTCCAGCCTTGTCCAGACACTTTCAATTTTGTGGAAGAGGAGGAATATCTGGAAGCAAAAGCAGCTCTGTGCTAATTGCGCATTGTCTGGCAGACAGATCCATCTGCCTGCGGAGCTCTGCTGCATCCCACGCTGCAGGAGCCACCTCAGACCTCATTTGGTGAGAGGCAGCCTTACCCCAGCTGCTCCAAGCCCTCATTGTCTCCTCATTCCCAAACAGCCTGAAGCCAGAGGCCTCCCCCTGCACCTTAGAAGAGGGAATATCCCCTGTTCTAAGGGGATATTCTAATGCCCCAGCCCAACCCTCAGGCACGAGGACAGTGGAGCACACTCAGCTCTGTGATGGAGAGGACCAGGGATCTCCAAGCACCTGCACTTACTTGGAGAACTTAAACTTGGGGAAGCGGATTGAGTTCTTGATGTAAACAGTGAAGTTTTCTGCACTGGCAAGAAGCGGTTTCCTGGAAGAGAAGGGTTTGTCATCTGGTTTACGTTTTTTAATTGGAATTGCCATTTTAGAAACAGCGAGGTTCCTCCCCACGGCGCGAGGCCAGTCATGCCACTCTCCCCATGCTGCCCGCAAGGAGCTGGTGCGGAACGTGCATGTTGCAGGGAAGCACCGGGGGCTGGAAACCGCCCTGGGACAGCCAGTGAGCCAAGCTGGGGGGGAGCAGAGGGTCAGTCCTGCCAGGGGGCCACGCAGAGCTCCCTCCTGCACTGGAACAGCCAACATTCAAGCAAACATCCAAGCAGAAGGAACCCAGAAACTGCCCCGAGTGACACACAAGCCAAACCCAGCACACAGCTCAAGCTTGGATACAGCCCAGGATGGTCACCTACTTGGGCTTGGATCTTTTCTCCACTGGGCACCAGGCCAGTATCTCACAAGTCCCTCTGACGCTGTCCCTGTCTTTCAAACAATGGCCAGTCTTGACCCCTGCAGCACAGACATCACAGATACGGTCACGCAGCAGCCACCTTCTCTCCTTCCCTACAGGGTGCACGAAAATCAGATGCTTTTCACTGCCACCCTAAGCCCTTCTCCCTGCTGCGCAAAGACCTCTCAGCTGAAACCACCACTCTCTTGCTGCTTCTCTGTGCAGCCCGGGGTGCTTTGGCCCAGCCACCAGAGAGCTGTAAGCAAGGCAGCAATCTAAAGATAGTAACGAAAAGAAAGTCCTTGCTGCTCTCTGCCACGAGGGATCTGTGGGGTCGTAACCGGGCTGGTGCCTCTGCAGGAACCTGCCTCTACCAGAAACTTCCCAGAGGACAGACCCTCCCCTTACCATTGCCGGCCACCACTGCTTGCCCCGCCGGGCAGTCCCCATCCTTGTGACACAGGGCGTCGGGAATGCTGGCACTCTGCAAAGTGGAAAAGGACAGAAGTGAGACCTGTGACAGGACACGAGACCCCGAGGGGTAAGAAAGTGCCGCTGACGTGGGGTGAATCCTCTACAGGACGGCGAAGACTGAAAACGTGCAGCTGACGTGGTAACTGCAGGTCAGGGGCGAATAGCTCGACAGTACCACGCCGCCAGCAACACGGTGGTTCCGCTACGACACCCGCTTTTGGGCTCTGCTCCGTCTGGAGAGGGACAGGCTGTGGAAAAACCCAGGCATCACCCTCACTCACCAAAACCGTGTTTCTCACGGTGCTTCACCTAAGAGACAACCCTACCTTTGATTTTCAGCGCTCTGAGCTCAGGGTGACCCCCTTCTCTGCCACATACCAGGGTCATGCAGCCACTAGAGGACAGCCGTGTCCTGAACGAGCACACTGCGCTCTCGCTTGGGCTACCCCTCCGCTCCTGGTATGGAAAACGAACCCCTGCTAGCTGGAGACAACACTCCCTGGACGGCCAGCGTCCTCCTCCCCCAGGCTCCAGCCCTTCTGAACCACTTCTCCACAGAGGACGTTTCGAAGTGACACGGTTTTAAAGATTTCCTGTGCCCTGAAGGTAACAAAAGCCCTTCCCAGGATGGGGCTCTTAGGAAGTCTCCTCTACCCGTAACTAGACCGAGTCACCTCCAAGTTGTTTTCCTTTCCCAAAGCCTTTTCTGACCCTGAGCATCACTGTTCTGGTCTCATCTCCAGCTGGGCAGATGTCCAACACCTTCAGCTAAAGCCAGCCAAACTCTACATGACAACTGAACCTCCCAGATTTGCAATAACCAGGCTGGTTTTCCCAACTGAGATACTGCACTAGACAGAGAAACCGTTCGCCTTTCATCCGTCCCGTGTTCGTTGCTCCCGAGTGTCCTCTGTCAGTTCTTACCCCCAGTTCTGTAGGGGTTGGGGGGCCAAGGGGCTCAGTTCTTCTTACCTCAGGGCACGTGGCTTGTCTCTGGTTTGGGGTCACAATCAGATTCGTCATGACAAAGAAGACGTTTTCACCCTAGAATAAACAAAGTGAGGCAGAAAGAGTTAGAAAACCTATTTTCTCTCAAGGTAGCTGTTACAAGGAGGAGGAACAGTAACATTTCTGGCAGTGTCATGTTCCTTCTGTATTTAGGCAAAGCCACAATATTACGGCTGACTCGTGTCCTGGAGCCTTCCCTTCTTTGCACATCTGCAGCTCCTGTCTGGTCCCCTCCCCACTTTCAGTGAAAAGCTCACATAGTTAACTTTTCGTTGTAATGGTTTCCCATTACCAACCAACCACCAAAGGAAACCACAGGAAAAAACAAGCCTGAAGGCAGCTCTACAGTCAGCAGAGCAGAGAGAAAGCAGCTTACCACTGCACTGCAGGTGGAGGCTGGTTTGCCACTCAGCAATGAAATCAATGCCGAGATAAACCATTTCTGCTCCACACCGTGCACAGATGGGAAGGGGAAGAGGGTCAGGAATGGCACCAGGCTGCAGCTGCAGAAACAGGGGGTGTCTCCTGACAGCCCCCAGCACGGGGGAGCCTGACTCTCGTCACACCGAGGGGACACATATAACCACTCCAGCCACCCCACAGCCCTGGTGTGAGGCGGGGCAGCCCCAGGCACCTTGGACAGAATGCCCTCCATCCTCCCACACGGGCAGCGTGTCAAGCTCTGCCACCTCTAACGCTTGTGTGAGTGAGCTCCTGGTGATGAAATACCTGCTCGGGAGCAAACTCTGGACTCCCGACCCCACAAGGCTGCTCTGAACCACCCCAGGGAACAAGGAGAACATGCCCAAGAAAGCAATGAGGGAAGGATTCACCGGGTGAATTCCTGCTCTACTTTCAGCTTAACGCCAAAGCGCCCCTGGTTCACCCTGTCCAGGGGCATTCTCAGCCCTCAGTGGGGCATTTGAGTGAGCTGAGTGCCTGCCGTTTATTCCAGAGTCGCTCAGAACCCCCTTCCAGCACACGGCCCTGCCCGCTGCATGTGAAAATCAGAGCTCTCAGTTCTCTGCCCGTGAGAGCGGATCTCAGTGCTCTCACACTCGCCTGATCACTCCCCCTCCCTCAGCGTGCGTTGCGTGAGGTGGGTTTAGCCCACATCCCACCAGCACTGTGGGACACAGGTAGGTCTGTCCTCAGCAGAAAGCACACGTTGGTCAGCACCCGCTCCGGTGGGCTCAGCAGAGCTGCCTGATGCTCTGTGGAGAAGACGGGGTTTCTCCCAGCCCCTGCTGCCTCCTGCTCTGCTGCCCAGGTCTCTCCAGCACAAACCAGCCCACCCAGACCCACTGGGACAGCGCAGGACTCTCCCTCCAAAGCGAAACGAGAGATTACACAGGGGTCAGCACCGCTCGTGGGTGTTCAGATACCCCTAAAACCCACGTGGGATGCAGCTCACGGCTGACCCAAGACACTCGGCAGAGGAACAGTCACCAGCACCGGGTGCAGGACGGCTTGTGAGATGTCTACATTTGCATTCACAGTCCACAGAAGCTGCTGAGTTTCAGCGTCAGCCCAGGGTCTGACACCACCGTGGCTGCTGGAGGCTGCTGGGGCAGACTGGACTGGTGCTGGGTTCAGTACTGTGCACTGATTGCCCAGTCTCGTTTGGCTTTATGGTGCCATAGCCCAGATGTGTCACAGAGCACGCCAGCCCAGAGGCAGACACCGCTGGCTTTACTCAGTACACACACCACGAGGCCTCCCAGTAAGCCAACACACAGTCACAAGAGCACTGAGTCGCAGGAGAAGTGTCTGACAAGTTAAAATACCGGCCAGTGTCATCATTTCATTTCTGGGTGCGCACACCAGCCCCCTGCCAGTGTCCCAGCGCTTCCACGCAGCTTGTGCAAGAGGCTGCCTGGCCTTCCCGCTGCACAGCACACGTGGGTCCGAGACCCACAGCATGCAGTGAGGCTTTGTGTTAAAACTGGAGACCCATAGCACAGCTCCACAGGTCTGAGTAAACATGGGCTGCAGCAGGAGGAAGGTGAACCCTTGTTCTTATGTACAGACAAGTAAATTCCTCAATTTACCACTTTCTGCTCCCGGTCAGCACAAGACCCTGATGTTCCCCTCACTCCTTGCCATGCACATGTGGTAGACACCGGCAGGGAAAGCACCAACAGCCACTGGCAAGCACAGCCGGGCAATTCCCAGCCTGGTGCCGGGCCACATCTGCTGCCACCTTCTCCCCTTAAGCATCTGCCACGCACCTCGCTTTGTCTAAGACGGGGAAGCAGCCAGGCAGGTTTAGCCAGAGGCATTTCAAACTGCACCCTCACCCCTCAAATTGCACCACATTTTCTTTCCATCTCCCACCCCGTGGGAGCTGCCCACGGGCTGCCCCGCGCACGCCTGCTCTAGCCCGGGAAAGGAGGCAACGGAGGCCGTGCCGAGCGGAGCAGCCCCGCTGCAGTCCGCGGGAGTGCTGCTCGCAAAGTTCCGCTTGCCAAGTCACGGCCCTTTGCGAGAGCGAGAAGGCTGCTTTGATATTTGCTGGAAGGACCCACGAGAAGGCACAGCATTGCTTTCTTGCAGCCCACCTCCTGCTTATTCATAGGAAAGACGCGGATACATAGCTTCAGCCTTTCCCACAGCAGCCAGGCTGGTGTCTCCAGCTGAACGGCGGAGACGATAGCAGCGGGGTGATGCCCACCTGCGGAGGAATGACGTAGTCTGCAACATCCCACAGCCTCTCCCCCAGCTCCGAGGTGTTGGTGAAGGCTACCCCTTTCAGCTTGGTGATGACAGAGCTCTGGAGGGATGTGTCTGTGTCCTGGTAGCCTTTCTTGACAACAAACACCCACCTGCAAAGAACACAGCGGGCAGCAGCGTTAGCAAGCGGGCTCAGGGAACAACTTTGCCAGAGAAGACTTACACCAAGGCCAAACACAGTTTGAGGGCAACTCGAAACATGCCAATGACACCAAACCCTCTGCAACTACTACTTCAAATGTAGGATAAACTCTTTGACACAAGCTATGCATATCTACGTAACTGGAGAAGAAGTCAGGACCCAGACCCCACATGCAGGGAAAGGTGTAAAACTGGTCATGGGGTAAAACCCCAAAGCCTCCCACCACCCCGTTCTGCGCTGCACCCCTCAACCCCCAAAGAAAGAGGGGAGGGCAGGGCTCCATCACCCTCAAGATGAAAAACACCCCAGGTTTTGCAAGCTGCAGTGAAGAGTGTGGTTGGTTTCACAGAGAGGTGACTCGCTCCCCTTTTAGCAGCCTGCTGCCAGCCCAGCGCCAGATCTTGGCTGGGGAGACGTGATTCCAGCTGGAGAACTGCGTGTCGCTAACAGAAAGCTGCAGGGAACCTTCTCAGCTACATACAGGATCTTCTGTAAGCCGGTGCGATGGGAACAGCCCAACTGCACTCTGGCCTCCGGGCCCCTCGCGCCTGGGGAGCTGCTGCCTTGCTAAGCACTCCAGGGAAAGGCTTTGCTTCCTTCTCCCCACTGGAAGCAGCAAGAGCTCCGCATCACCGGGTGAAAACCTCTCTGGGTTAAATGCAATGCCTCCAGCCTCCCCACAACACTGCCAGGACAGCAAATCACCCAGACCCTTGAGGAGGCTGAGGGTTTTGGGAGGGGGCACAGGCTGCGTTTGCTGGCAGAGCTCCCCACCACCGCACGCAGAAAGGGAAAGCGGCCAGCCCTGGGGCTGAGCAGCACTGCCACACGCTGCCCGTCACCTCCCACTTGGGACAATCCTGAAGAATAACATTCCCCACTCCTGTGAAGTTTCCTACTTCCCTTTTTTCAGGAGAACAGTTTCTCTCTCCCAGGAGGGCCCAAAAGCAGACCCTGACATTTTCCGCAGCCAATTGGGGAAGAAATGGCAGGGACATGGAAGAAACAATCCGGAGGGGTTTGATGACAGCAACCCCCAAGCCAGGCTCTGCACAGGTCAGCAGAGCAGTCAGACGGTGCTGACAGCCCTGCGATGAGGCTGTAAGCCCCCGGCCACAGCGGAGTCACCAAGGCACCTGCCATGGCACTGCCAAAGGTTTGCAGGGGGAAGAAAAAAGCCTGTACGGCCCAGAGAGTCTGAACGCTGACGGTCACTGGTCATGCTGTATCCCTCCTGGCCGAGGACGTGTCCTCGGCGGCGTTATCGACAGGATTCCTCCTTTAGCAGCTAATACACGCCAGGCTGCTGAGCCCTCACCTCTGCCCTGCTAACCACAGCAGGCTCTGGAACTGTCCACCTTTCCATAAATAAGCCCAGCGTGTAAATTTACTCTGCTATATTTGATCGGTGTGAGAGAGGCGAAGGGGCTCAGAAGCACAGACAGCGAGGGCAAAGACCTATGAATCACATTCTGCAGATCCACAGAAACTCAGGAAGCGAAGGCACAGGCATCACATAGGTCTGAGCCTGCGAGCCGCAGGCAGCACTGCTGTGCTCGTTCCGTGTCAGCGTAGCCTCTCGCGGATTTGGGTCTTCTCTGACAAGCGCTCTCCCTATCTCCATGCCAATTCACCCTCCCCTGAAATAAATGCAAGGAGGTTGCCTTTCATGCTGCCTCAGCCTCCACAATCCCGGCTGCTGCAGCCCACTCCAGCACAGGAATCTGCCGGGTTGTGCTTGGTTCCCTCCCATTTACATTTCACCGTGTCATGCCGTCGTGCAGACCAGCCAGGCTTGTCCCAAGGCTCAGCAATCGGGTCTATAAATGCTGGTGTTTCTCACGGAGTTAAGGTTTGGCACCGTTCCCACCGAATACAGAAATGAAGGCGTAAATAATGCAGTGCAAAGCCGTGGTGCCATTTGATCTATTTTTAACCGTCCGTTAACCTGGAAGGTAGAGCTGAATTTAGCGATCCCTAGCAGGTGAATAGTCTATTAGGCATAATAAAAATCCAGCTGTATAACGAAGCGTAACCACAGGCACTAAAATCCTAAGGCACAGCGAGCTGTCACCGCACGCAGGGCATCCTGCATCAATCCTCCCCCCGGCACAGCGAGCAAACGCGGCCGCAGCAGCACGCGAAACGCTTCTTACCCCACCAGGTAAGCCAGAATGGAGAGCTGCACCACCCGGTAGAGAATCCCCACCTTCTTGTTCTTCGCAATGACGTATTTCTCCGTTTTATAATCAAAAAGCGAGAGAAACAAAGCCTTCCAGGCCACCTGCCCCATGCTCCCGGCTGGCTCTGGCGGGGCGGCTGGAGCTGGCGGCGGTGGCTGCAGCTCACATCATCCACACGTGCTCCTCACGGAAACCCGACACACCAACCTCTTCAGCGCGAGAGGCTGATCTCCTCCCTCCGGCAGCTGCTCGCTGGCAGCAGCTGCACTAGCACAGCGCCTGCCTGAGCTGCTTTCCAGCTCACTCATCCTCTGGGGAAGCCCCCGTCTCAGTTTTGCCCCCAGGCTTCATCCTCTCCCCCGACCCTCACAAAATGTGTATAATTAAACACGTTACAGCATGAAGCCGTGTTCCAGCCCCCAAGGTGACAGAGCTACAGCTTCTCACTGTTCAGCCTTCACACCACGGCAGAGCAGCTGGTTAATTTTTAATTTTTGGAGCGTTTGCAGAGCAATAGAGCTTGGATCCTCACCAGTTATGCAAAATACCTGCCTGCTTACTGCATCTTCCCACCACAAAAAACTCCAGCAACTCAAGAAACTAATAAAGAAACTGTGCAGGTGGTTAAGGGACCAACCACCACCAGGTCTCACCGACCTGCCAGGGAGTGTGAGCGGGGCACGTACAGGCACAGAACATACCGTGTGAGGAAAGGCCAAGGGGAGAGGAACAGTTTAACCCTCGCTGGCAGGAGAGTTGGTTATTAGCCTGTAGTGCAAGAGGTGATTCCTCGTCTAAGGGACACGTTTGCACGTGTGAGGAAATGCAATCATCGCTACTTAATCCAAGAAGGGTGCACGCTGTCTCCTGGCTGAGGAGGGAACACAACAAGCTCCCAGGTGGAAAACAAAGCCAGACCTTGCAGCAGCCTGGCTGAAAGAGCTGACGGATCTCACCAAGAGGAGATCCCGCAGCAAGCTGGGATCCCAACTGGAGTGTGCCCTTTCCAGGGGGATCCCGTATCTGTGCACTGGCAGGAGATGTCTCCCAGGGGTCCTTCTGGGATGGCGCTGCTCAGAGGCTGGATCTGTTGGAGTCTGTCAGAGGCACAGGGTGGTGCATCAGGCATGAACCGCAGGGTTTGCTGCAGGAGCACCCACTTAGCTCACGCCTGAGCACCCAATTAGCTCTCGGGCCTTTGTCAGGACCTGGAAGGCTCCTGAGCTGACACCGTATGCAACCGCGAGACATGCCTGAACGCAGGTCGGGAGAGTGGGTCACGTAGGGAGGCGGCAGCGCAGCGAGGTGACCTGCTCCAGCACACACACCTCTGCCCTACGCAACTCTCTTTCCAGGGGGCATCATTCTCAATACCTCAGGATTTATGAACATTTTATCTTTCATCCTCCTTAACTTCCATATCAAACAGATGGATTGGATTTTTAATGAGCACGTGACAAGGTTGCTCCATATCACAGGAGACTCACAGTCTAATAACGGACAAAGCACTATCCTTAAAACACCTCGTTTTCTCCCTCATCCCACAGCCATCCCTAGAGTTTCCTTCTGCAAAGCAAAGCAAACCTTTCTCCAGCAACTGCAAAATTAGAGCAGAAAATGTGCCTGTGGCCTCCTTTAACCCCGCGGCTGCTGCGCTCCCCAGCTCCAGCCCCACAGCGGGACAATTGCTCCGGCACGTGGCTCTTCCACAGCGTGGCCCTTGGAGTGACAGGCAGGCTGATCCTCCAGATGCCTGCTCCACCACCCTGGCCTGGGACATGGGAGAGGCCACCCCCCAGCCCCCTCTGCCTTGCCCGATCCCGTTCCCAAACTTTGCAGTCGCCCTTCAGCCTCAGCAGAAGCACAAGGCTGGTCTTGCTCACCTCTCCAACAGCCTGTGAGCCCTCCTTCCCCTATCTGCACACCCCACATGGGCAGCCCCTCTTTATCTCACAGGACACAGCGACTGCTCCCCAGGTCCCTCCTGGAGGCCTCTTTCTCACTCAAACACCTGTTACTTACAGTTCCCTCTTTCTCAAGCAGTATTTGGCCGTTGTAGCCACCGCTCCTTACCCGACGCCTACAGACCAGGCTGTCACTAGTTCTCGTCTCAAAGATCCTCTGAGTGAAAGTCTGAGGCACACATAAAAAAATCTTAAAATGTATAATAACGGAAGGAGACAAAACCCTCCAAGAAAACGCACTCCTGCCATGGGCAGGGACACCTTCCACTAGACCAGGTTGCTCCAAGCCTCATCCAGCCTGGCCTTGGACACTTCCAGGGATGGGGCATCCACAGCTTCTCTGGGCATCCTGTCCCAGTGCTCTCCACCCTCTGCGGGGAGAATTTCTTCCTGATATCCAACGGAGTATCAGTGGACACAAGTCAGCCCTTGGTGTCTAGTGTCACCCCCAACTCCTCCATCCCCATCTTCCTTATCCGGGTGACCGCGCAGGCTACAATCAGACCAGGAGACTTGCTAGCGGCTAAGTAGTGTGTTGCCTCCTGGCCTGGTTTTACACAGTGGCGCAGGCATAGGTCTGCTGTGAGTTTTTTGCAATTATTTTCCAGGTCAATTAATGCGAGAAAGGATTTACACAGGTTAGAAAAACAGTTTCTGAAGAGTGAGAAGTGTTCCTGTCATAGGTGTGACCTGATGTCACCCAGGTTTGCTCACTGAAGAAAGATAAAGTGAACCTGATACTTTTCATGGGTTTTAGAGCCACCACGGAGAAGCACAGCTCCAGGAGTTGCTTCTGAGTCAAAAGCTTCAATTTGTATCAAGTGTTCCTCAGGATACTCTGAACGCAGCTCAGCCGGGCTGACCGCAGCGGTGTTGGCATGCTTTTGCATATACTGTTCTTATGACCTTCTAGTTTTCACAACCTCATTTTTTTACTTGCCCGAGAATCAAGATTATTGGTGTGTTTCTCAAAGCATCTGTGGGTGGTTCAAACATCAGCAGTTTCATTCCCAGAGCAGGGTGTAAATAACTTAACAAAATCTAACCATCAGTTAAAGAGAAAAAACCAGCAGCTTCTCTTCCTCCTTCTCAAGGGACTGAGGCTGCATCTCTTCTGCAAGATTTCTCCCTTATGAGTCCAACATTTCGAATTTCCCATGGGAAAGAAACAGTTCTGCTCCTCTCCCACGAGGACTATTTGCTCAACCTGGGAATTCTCACAGGGAGGATTTCTCCTCCTGTACCAAAACTCTCCCTTTTGCTCTCATTTTAGTCCTGACATGTTACATCCATTTGTAACTCCTCCTGGTAATTGCTTTCTCATTACCCACACGTAGTCATAGGATCCACGTCCCTGTCTGCTGGCACTGCTCCTCATCTGCTTCTCCCCCAACGTGTGGGCAGCTCTTTGGTGTTCAGCTGCCCCAGAGCTGAACTCAGCCCCGTCACCAGCCCGTAAATGCCAGGTGAACAAACTGTGGAAATTAAACTTTCGACCCCTGCTCCGACACAGAGACCTTTCAAACACAGCGAGGTCTCACCTGCCTCTCTACGGCATCATAGCACAGGAACGTGTTGAGGTCAGGGCGAGAATATCTTTAAACGGCCCCAAAAGTGACCGTGCGTTTTCCAGGAATGGCAGACGGCCCTGGCCAGCAGAGGCGTGATTCACGAGTGGCTGCTGGAGATGCCCGTTTTTGGAACTGGAAGCAAACCAGACAAGTGCCTAACACCCCCAGCCGTGAATTCAGTGATCCCCACCCGTCCTTTACTGAGGACAGCTGACTCATCAGATGCGGAGACATTTCTGCAGTGCTGAAGCAAATGCCTGAGTGATGCAGATGCATCATCCCTTAGAAACAGGCGCCAGACCAGCTACTGAAATAGAAAGGGGATGAGGAGCAGAGGATGTAAATAGGAGATAAATTATTTTGGCAAGGAAATGAGGAGTGGAAAATACATCAGTGTTTTTTTCTCAGAGTATCATACTTGTAGGTCAGCATGTAAAAAAAACAAACCAAGGGGAAGAGTTGAACAGGTTAAGAGGAAGCTGCTCTGAAACCACAGCCCACGCACACGGAAACGCATGGAAATCGGCAGCGTCAAGCATAAGGTGCTTCTGAAGGTGATGGGATCGAATGCAAGAACAAAGAAATGTGTGCGCAGCCTGCAGTGAAACGCAGCTTCTCTTCCAATCCTCGCCGTGGCTCTGCAGTGTAAACAAGTAGGTTGCTACTTGCCAATGAAAAATGGACAAAAATCAGCCTCAGTATTTGTCCTCCTGACGAGCACCCCTGCCCACAATGGAAAAGGAAATCTTTCTAACAGGAGCTATTAGAAAAACATGCAGATTTTGGGTTTTTTTGCCTAGAAAGGGAGTCCAAGGAAAGAATGTTTCTTTCACTATCCACAGGAGCATCCAAACCTGCCTGCAGGAATGACAAACAGAAGCATGCTGAAGACCAGATTATATTCTCTCTTTGATTCAGCTCATCAGTTGCAATAGAGCAATTTTCAGCCTCTGGATGCATTCCAGGCTGGTTCTCCAAGTCTTGAATCTCCTCTACAGTGGGCAGGAGGTCTGGTTATCAAATAGCCAGAGTGTTTATCCACTCCTCTCTTCCCAACCCAAGAAGTGAAAGTGCTTGAGGAAGAGGAGCAAAGAGGGGGGAGAAAAGTCACCGCACATCTAATGAAACTCATCCACCATGCCCTGTTCTGTGAGAGAGCTGGCACTGAGTCAGGTAAGAGGAATTAAATAAAAATGCACATAAAACATGGCTGGGAGACGGAGAGCGATGACAGGTGAACAGCAGCGTTACACAGTGCTGCAGTGCCATGTTTTCACCTTCTGAAGTCAGCCAGTAAAAGCAGCATTGGGGAATAGGAGAATGTTAAATGAAAGGGCTGAAAGCTGAATGGGTTTAATGAAATGGGTGTAAATTGAAATCAGGGAGGTTTAGATTAGATATCAGGGAGAAATTCTTCACGGAGAGGGTGGGGAGGCACTGGGACAGGTTCCCCAGAGAAGCTGTGGATGCCCCATCCCTGGATGTCTTCAAGGCCAGGCTGGATGAGGCTTGGAGCCACCTGGTCTGGTGGAAGGTGTCCCTGCCCATGGCAGGGGGGTTGGAACTAGATGGTCT